AGCTTCGAATGATGGGTTTGTTAAAAAGACAATTTTGAAAATATATGAAAGGAAGCGATTGTGGCCTATTTTATTAATCCACCATTTATCTGGAAGGACTTAGCTAATCACGAAGGACCTCATTCACGATAAGTGCCTCTGGACCAGGATCTGAACACGACTAGCAGAATATGAAGCTGCAGCGTCAGGAATTGTCACGCTGTGTGCAGTTGCACTCCAGTGCAAGGATCCGCTCGAAACACGGCAAATGTGTCCCTTAAACTGTCTCGTTTCGGAGCATGGAGAAACACGAAGAAACTTTCTCCAATAATTGACAAAGTTTCGAGGTTTTTTTTTAGAGGGCAGTTACAAAATCCACTTGCTGAAGAAGCCCACACAAGACAGGTTTTAATTAAGGGCGCTATCCACCAGCTGAGCCTTGTTTTGGTAACATGAGGCCTCTAATTCCAACATGGAGCTCTGTAGCAACTTGGCGCATTCAGTATCCCCTTGAACAAAATTATACATACGTTCAGAAAAAATAAGCTTTTGAAACCTGAAACAGAAGGAAGATGTGAGGAAGTTGCGGGAAGGGGGTTACCGAGGGAACCTGCTGGAAAGTTTCTGGCCGGAAAAGTTCCGAGACAGTGCCCACTGACTCTTCTGGTAAAAGCGGATTGATACACCGGCCTCATGATAACTCGAAACATGGCTGAAGTCACACCAACACTGTTCTGCTGCCTGTGGTTGCGTGCTTAGACCTGAGCTAAAAACATTTCCCACTAATCGCTGTTCTGCAAATTTGATGATTCTGTATGAAGCAACTAATCATTGCAAGTTCTGTTTCTTCTCCCTTCACGGATCAGACTCTCTGGCTGGTTTCCATTCAGAATTATTTCCGAAACTTCAGTTGTTTGTAAGATTCCTTGGACAGGGGATCAGACATTTCGCAACGCCGCTACGTACACAGGGCAACACAAACAGCTAAAGTTCAGACACCCGTCCCTTTAGTGGGGTTCGAACCCGAGACCCCAGCGTTTGAGCCGGCGAAGACATTTCATGTACGTAGACTATGATGGCGTCATTACAGATTAAATTTCAAAATACATTGCGGTTCCATTTAATGCGAAGGATGCGTTTCCGAAGACATTGCACGATTCAAGACAAGTTCTCTCATATGGGACGCGCTTTATTTCAAGCTTTTGCGCATAAAGTGAGATTTTATTAACATTTTTGTATCGCATTATTTCAGATTCGCATTAAACGCGACCGCACTGTATAATTCGGGCGAGAGGTACCCAATACCTTCGTCACTCACAGAACGAGCTCTGGGATAGTACATCAAGTCGCTGGCTTTCTTCCGCGTCGTTCCCGGTTCATTATTCGACGCCATGTAGTCTGAGGTGCTGAGCGCCGTAAAGCTGTCCCTGTGCTTAATTAAGCAAGACTTAAATAGGAATGGAGGTGTACCTCCACGCATTCCTAACCTTAACTCCTAGTCGCTTTAGTTCCGAGATAGAGGCCCCCGTTCCTAACTTAACGGAGGCCGGGTGGGCCCCAAACCCGGTCTGTACTCCGCAGAGAAGAGATGAATGTACCGGTAATCGAACTACGATCACACGGCCCTACAGGCTGTAGCTGTAAACAAATTGGCTGAATATTCCGATAAGCCACTCTTGCGCTGAGGATATAGCGAGGGGAACGTTTCTGGGGAGCAGTTCCCCATTTGGTGTTGTGTGGCACTGCGCGACCGCCCGCCTCTGTACCGCGTCCTGTGCTATCGGAAGGGACATTGATTGATGCGTCGAATTCTGTCGGCCCCAAACCGAAGCAGTAGGATCTTGCCCAGGTAAAAGACTAGATCCTGCAGTTACACATTTCGCTCCGTTGATTCCACGGTTTACAAATTTGACGGATAAACTCGATATATATCGAAACCGTAATCTGATCGGGACCATTTCTCTTCTGCGACCGAGACAGTACGGTCGGTATATCGACCCTCTGGACGGTCGAGGGGCAAGTGATTTTTCTCCACGATGTGCAGAGCAGTTGTGGGACCCACCAAAGGATGACTCCACTTCCCCATACGTCTTCGTGGCGTAGTGCTTAATTAATTGAGCAAAAGGACGGCGTTGCCATAAATCAGGCGGTTGGTCTCCGAATTCCCAGATTTGATCCCATTTGAATTCATGTAGGATTTGTGGTGGACAAAGTGGCGCTGCGGCAGGTTTTCTCCGAGTACTTCGGTTTCCTCTGCCAGTTCTCATTCCACCAGCTGCTCCACGCTTGTCTATCATCCAAGGCCGGTGCAGTAGACCCAGTAATGGCCGGCGTGCCAAGCGGACTCAGTCTCACCCCACCCCACACAATCTTAGTTTTGGATCAGGACTTGAACTGCATGACATGGAAGGCATCCCATATCTATAAATTAATTTCCTTTAGTCCTGTCTGTGCAGTATTTACACAAGTGTTACTCATGATGTTTATAGTGTGCCAACGAATTTTAAGTCGCTATTTTCGCCAAGGATATTGCTAATGACGAATTTGACGGCGGAGAAGCAATTCGGTGGGACAGGTACCACATTAAGAAAATATTTCACAACAGAACTTTAAGCCTTGCAGCGTACATTGGTCAAGAACCGTCGCCAAGTTAAGAACAACGACTCATGTGCCGGATCACAGATGAAGCCTGAGGTTGTGATACTGCACTGCCTGGTCAGGGCTACCGAATTCCTCGGGGAGTAGAGATTAATTGATGGAGCAGTGGTGGAATGAATACACAAATATTTATTGATTTGTGATATTAAAGCAGATGGGGGCACTGTGCTACAAGCCAGAAGGTCGCGGGTTCGATTTCCGATGAGGTCATGACCTAATCCTTACAGCCGCACTATGGCCCTGGGGTCGAGTCAGCCTCTAACAGAAATGAGACAAAGAATCTTCCTGGGGCTAAAGAGCGGCCAGCTCGTAAGGCAGACAACCTCACCGCCATATGTGAGCCGATTATCTAGAAAATGTGGGAGCCTCGGCGTCTCACAACGCTGTGGGCCTCTACAGCCTCTTACAGGCATAGCTTTACGGGGCTAAGAGGGTAAGAGCCAAGAAACTCGGAGGGAAAATTATTCCAGGGCAAGTTTGCCCAACATGAGTCTCACAGGAAGTCACCCGGGATTGATATAAGGTCTCCATGGTGAGAAGCCGCAGCAGCACACCACTTGAGATATGACACATGAAGTAACTGGGGATTGAACCAGAAGTTCCGTGGTGAGAAGCCACTGCCTGATAGTCTGTTGTAGGACACTGTCTGGTTACCATATTTTATTCGATGAGATTTACATTTTCAGATCTGTGCAACTTTTTTTGGTACTGAATGACTTCAATAGCCGTTACAGATACAGTATGTGTGTATGTATACATGTAACCTTTGCGATACAGTTTTACGCCATTGGTAGGATTTCCGCTCACTCACAGTCCAATCATAACATAAAGAACCTCTTGTAAATGAACATTTTTACCCCCCCCCCTCCCCCCGTCATGAAAATACGACATTTAACGACAGAGAGACTTACTATCACCGCCTCTGTGGTTTAGTGGTCAGAGTTAGTGGTTAGTGGTCCTGGCTACAGATCCAGAAGTCCGGGTTCTATTCCCTGCGCTACCAGATTTTCTGAGAAGTAGTGGGTCTGGAACGAGGTCCACTCAGCCTCGTGAGGATAACTGAGGAGCTATTTCAAGGAAACAGCGGCTCAGGTCTAGAAAACCGAAACTAACGGCCGTGGGGATTCGTTGCGCTGACCACGCGACACCCTCTATCCGTAAAAGTTGGCACTAACTTCGCCGACAAGCGACGGTCGCTCGGTCGGTATAATTCGCTTGCGGACCACAACTACGGAGTTTTTTGTTTTTGTTTTGAGACCTACTGTCAGAGCCATCTACCGCCAGATTTGGTACTGTCTGCAACCAACGCGTATAGCAGACTGTGTTACCATATTGGCACGCAGCACCATTATGATTTCGTTGTGCAGTCAGACATACAAGTATTTCGACATTTTTTCTATCTAGCGATAAGACGAGTGCACTTTGAAAGACTATACGTTACAGAAAACTAACAGGTCCTTTTAGTGCTCTGTGGATTCAGTGGATATCATAGTTAGGAAATGCACTCAACCAACATGACGGTGACCGATTTTAAAGTCGAAACACATAGTATTATGAAACTATCACTAAAGTATGTAGGGCCTATTGTTTGGGTGACGGCTGTTGAAATCAGTTAAGGTATATGCCGCCATGTTGTCACAGGCATTGCACACGTAAGAGATGGGAAGTGCTGAAGATCTAGAAGTAGATGGGAAGGTAATGTGGGTCTTAAGGAAATAGGATATGAGGGTGTGGACTACATTGAATCAGAGTAGAGGTCAGTGCCGGACTGTAAATATAAGCTAAAGTTTTCCCTGTGCTCAACGAATTGAGCACTACGCCATGAAGGCGTATGCGGGAGTGGATGTATAGATCCACATTTTCTTGACCTCGGCCCTAGTTGGAGATGAGTAGTCAGCCCGGTTTACCTCCAAGAAAGAGCTCCCGGTGCCCGTTGTATAGGAGGTTGGGTGAACCCCAGAGCCGGTCTGGACGGTTTGGAGAGAATTCTTGACCCTGCCGAGACTCGAACTCCGATCGCTCAGTCGTCCGGCCCGTAACCAGTCGCTATACCGAATGCCGGGCTCTAATGTAAAAGATAATGATCCATTGCTTTCGGTAAAAGCGGAGAATTCCTTGACTACATGAAATAAAGGTTCAGGTCTATGAAATTGGCTAGATTTTTTAATTGTATAACTTTTTCTCCATGTTAAGTTATATTTTTAACGACGTAGACTTTAGTATCACTTCGCGAAGAATTACTACGCCGCCCTGGATGCAGCTGCATATGGCTTTGAAATATGAGTTACGATAATTGACGACTGAAACCGAAGTTTGACGAATGCACGCGCATGTTGACTGAAGACAAGACAGTTTCGGCGTGTGTGAGCATGAGAAAGTAGAAGTTGTGTTATAATCAAGTATTTTGCTGATAAATGTGTCTACTACAAGTTTGTTACGAATTACCAGGTTATATTTAGTGTGGTTTATAGCACTAAGCAAACTTCTGAAATGACTGAAAATGCAAATTGAAGTTAATACGGTATAAACTTGAAGAGGGACGACAACTTTACCTGTTGGCACGTGTTGCTTGTTCCCGGCCATGGAAACGGCAGGAATGACGTCACAGGTACAGTTGAAGGTTAATGTGTATAATGGCGTGTATAAAGGAAACTGTACTCCTGCCGTTTCTTTACGATGCGAGTCAAGTGCATATAATTGATTATTATTGCGTATCAAAAAGATGTTGTGGGCATAATGTTGGGTTCTTACGTAACAAAACCACTTGGATTTGCTCTTTTGTTCTGTTTTGTTTCCATTGTAACAGAACTGAAGCCTGTATAATAATGAATTAAGACTGCACTATCATTGTGACTGTGCAGACATTTTGATTGTGTGGGCTTCATTGAAGAATATCAGAAACGTGTTTCAGATATGTTTTTTCGATAGCGACGTTTCGAATTCGTGCATGTACAAACCCACAGAGAGGGAGTAAATTTGACACTTAGTAAATCTGATGCTAGTTCATTGCTTTATGCAGAAGATAAAAACTTTGATTGTTTAAAACTGTTATTTTGAACTTTGTCCATAGTCCAAGTTTATTTTAGAAGCGTTACGTTTTGGTAATTGGTTCTATATCAATCTTCCCGGGGGCACGCGGTAGCGTAATTGGTTGAGACACTATCTTACATGTTAGAAGGTCGCGGGTTCGAGTCCCGATGAGGTGAATTTTTTTCAGTTGACCTAATCCTTCCAGGCGCACTATGGCCCTGGGGTACCAGGAATCTTCCTAGGGGGTAAAGGGCAGCCGACACATAAGACTGACAACCTCACCACCATCTGCGAGCTGATTGTCTGGAAAATGTAGGAACCTCGACGTCTCACAACCGTATGGGCCTCCACGGCCTCGTACAGGGATAGCTATCCATCTTTCCGCTCTAGAGTCCCTGGTTTGAGATGAACTACCGAGGGACCCAACGGAATAGGTGTCCTTTCATGTACTGTTTACCTAAAGCCAGAAATAGAACCAGTTTCTGAAAATCGGTGGTTCTGTAAAGCTTGAACGACGGACGAATTCGAAAATGAATTTGAGGTTTCCACGGCAGTGATTATGAAGAATACCGTCTTCTGGGATGTGGCGCCGTGCAGATATTGTGTGAACCGACGTTCCTCCGAAGCGTCGGTTTACATTCTTTGAAAATAACATTTTAAACGATTTTATAATATTTGAACTTAGTGTATACTATGTCAAGTTGTCTCGGTGCTTAATTAAGAACCACACCATGAAGACGTATTGTTAACCTCAGTTGTAACTGAAAGTGACTAGCTAGTGTCACGTCCCGGCCGTCTAACCTCCGCAGAAGTAGTCCCACGTCATCCACTGGCCAAACGTTAGGAATAGTAAGTACGTATAAAACATTTCCGACTTCGAAGTGTGTACCATCTTCTGCAGTGTGACGCCGTGTGAACTTAATGCTTGCTTCTTGCCGGCTACTTATCTTTACTTATCAGTACATAAAGTCTGTGCCATATCTCAGGCGGTTAGTCTCCGGCTTCCCACCGCGGCGGCTCGGGTTCGTGCTGAAGTCATGTGGGATTTGTGGTGGACAATGTGGTACTGGGGCAGGTTTTCTCCGTGTACTTCGGTTTCCCCTGCCAGTTCTAATTCCATCAACTGCTCCAAATTCATCATCCATCATCCGAGGCTGGTACAATGGGCCAGTTATTGGCCGACGTACCAAGTGGACTGTCTCACCCCACCCAAAGAAATTAAAAGAATACTGGCAATACATTCTTAACGAAACGTCGGCGAATCAACGGAACCACATAGTGTCACATCATCGCTGTAAGAACCTCAAATCCAACATTTCCAACTGAGTTTATTTCACTGATTGGCGCTTTTCTCGCATCATTCGCTTTCGAGACATTCATGCGCGTTTATATTCTGCAAGAGTCGAGGAAAGTCATCGCCCAATCAGATTGCCGCACGTGTACCATTTAGGATTGGTGTATCCCCGTGCTGACCACGGATGCGTGACGTCATTAGCAGCGATCGTGAGCATATGCACGGCATGTTAGAGCCTTCCTCACGTCCTTGCTGCAAATGATGGAACCCCGTCTCCATTTGGCTGTGAGAGATCTGGCAGCGTCTGTATGGTTACTGGTATCAGGGGGAGGGGGGTGACGTTTCTGGCTTTTCACGTGCATTCGGTACAGGGATTATCTTTCCACTGTGTAGTTACCCGCAGGCGGGTTAACTCATTCGGTTTAGCGACTGTGCTACAGTCTGGACGACCGAGTAATCGAGGATTCGATTCCCGGAAGAGGCAACCGATTGTTGGTTTCCCCGCGGCGTCCAGCGAGGCCCATCCCGTTTGTATCCAATAGGCTAAAGCGACTGGGGCGTTCCCAAATAGTGTTGAGATGAATTCGTGGAGCTATACCTCCACTCCCCTCATACATCGTCATGACAGTGCTTAATTAATTACAACAGCAATTTTCCTTTTTCTTACCGTTTACTGTGACTTATCTGAAAAAAGTAAAAAAAAAGTAAGTAAAGCTGTCCCTGTAACAGGCCGTGGCGGCACATAAGGTCGTGAGACGTTGAGATTCCCACATTTTCTAGACAATCGGCTCACAGATGGCGGCAATGTTGTCAGCCTTACGCGCCGGCCGTCCTCGCTTTATCTCCAGGAAGATTCCTGGTACTCATTTCTGTTAGAGGCTGAGTCGATCCCAGGGTCATAGTGTGGCTGGAAGGATTAGGTAAGTTGAAAATTGCAGTGATCTCGTCAGGAATCGAATCGGCGACCTTCCGGCTTGTAGCAAAGTGCCTCAACTAACTACGCTACCGCGTGCCCCTGACTTATCTGAGGAATCTGAAATCAAATTTGTAGAGCTCGTGAAAGTGTATAACGTTTTCAGTGACTTACTTAAGGGGCACAGGTGGTGGTGGTGGCGGCGGCGGCGGTGGTGGTAGTAGTAGTAGTAGTAGTAGTAGTAGTAGTAGTAGTATCATCATCGAGGATAAATTTCCGACAGAGGCAAGAGAATTTTCTCCTCAGTGGCGAGACCCCAGACCTGATGTGGCATTTGCCAGCCTCCTGTTCAGTGAATACGGACTCCTCTTTCCCTGGGATTAAAGCGGCCGGATCGTTTATCTGATCTCTCACCTCCATCTAGTGCCGACGTTATGAATGGTAGATGGAAGTATCCTTTGTAATTGTTGGGAATCGAACCCTACTTGCTGGGTTCTGGCGCATGTATTTTAGCCGCCTGCTGACTCAGCTGTCCTGGATCCGTCGATATAAGCCCATGGAGGAAATTTGGACGCCGCGGTACTGAAGGGGGAAGCACGATAAATGTGGAACTTATCCCTCAGAATTTGGAAGTCGGTCGCGTTGTTGTGTGAGCACCATAAACTATGACAAGGAACATTGTTCGTGACAAATTTTGGTACGGGAAATTTCCTTACGTCTGCGTTGAAACATAACTTCCGTCGAGATTAATTTCTAATTTGTTTTGTTTACTGCTCCTTATGCAGAAGTAAATAATTTATCTTTCATGATGTATTCTTTTTGTTCGTGTATCGTTTCAGATTATTACCACTTACTGTCCAAGCGCCTTATTTTTACAATTGTAGTTACAAGTACATGTTTCGACCATTAAATTATTGTCACGTATATTAGTGACTAAGACGCGGGTCTGGATTGGCAGTCGATTTATTGGATAACTACCGGTCGAAACTACAAAGCGTTGTAACTCTCCAAATTATTACTGGAACAGTAACACATAAAGCAAAGCCTTCACACTTCAACTCTAATCTTCGTATGTAGCCTCTGGGACTCTGCTACTGGATTCCGTCTATCAGTCCGTTATCTTCGCTGCTCTTATAATCTTCCCTTGAACCATGTAGAAGCCACAACTCCACTGCGCTCTGCACTGGTCTCTCAGTTGTCTTGAACTGCTGGTGTTAAGTCAAAGTCACATTGAGACTGACGGTCTGTCAGTCAGTCAGTCAGTAAGTCGTGGTGTCGAACCCCATCTGGGGCTCATGACCAGATATTAATTATTATCGTTTGACAGTTACGGTCTTGTTTCTGTGGGGCGCCTTCTCTGACGAGAGGACGGGTCTTTCTTTTGTATATGCTGCTGGCTCTTACCAGCGCAGTCTTTCTCGGGTCCGAGTCCCTTGGGACTCGCGACCATAATTTACTGTCTGAGAATTGAGACTTGAGAGAGAGAGAGGAAGAGAGAGAGACACACACACACACTTACGGATCATCTTCAGCGGGAACATCAATACTTATTCGGAAACCACCATCACAGTAGGTGTTCTGATTGCTAAATTACGTACACACATAATGCCTGGAATACACAATATTCAACTTTTCACAATCACAGCAGCCTTCCTGGTATTAAAACTTTTAAAGTGTTTAAAAAATTTAGCTTACCTGGACTTAAATATATTTAATAGACACGGACAAATAGAAATGGAAATATACAGAAAACCCACGACGACAGACATAACAATAAATAATAAATCATGCCACCCTAAAGAACAAAAATTGCCAGCATATAAAAATTGGATACACAGACTTCTTACACTACCCCTTGAGGAAAATGCTAAAAACGAATTAAATACTATTATTAATATAACACTAAATAATGGCTGTAGAAAGGAAGACATCACACATCTCTATAACAAACTTAAGTGAAAGATGGGTAACCCGGATAATAAAAACGAGAAGGAACAAAATGGGTCACTTCTACTTATACAGGAAATTACACACGAAAAATCACAAAACTATTCAAAAACACTAACATAAAGACAGCCTTCAAAACAGCCAACACAATAGGTAAACTAATAAATGAAAAACGAGAAATAAACCCCTACGAACAAAGTGGGATATAGGAAATAACGTGCCAAAGTTGCCAAAAAGTATACATCGGCCAAACTGGTAGAACTCTAACAAGATACAAAGAACACATAAGAAACATAAGACTAAACAAGGACGAATCAGCATTTGCCCAACAAATACTACATAAACACCATCAGTCTGTCTCCACTGACTCAGACCGTGTTCCTTCTTATTCTGTAAACCTCGTAATATAGCCTCGGCACTGACC